AAAATGTTTCCAAATCTCCGCTTGTACACGCTTGGAGCTTCTCGCAAATCTTTCTCCTCATCTGCCACGTTCAGAATGACCAGAGCGGCGCCGTGCCCCAACTACCGAGAGATATTTATACTAAAGTCTAACACGGTGTGGCTCTCGCCAGAGTATATTGTCGTGCTCTAGTGGTGAGGTAGTTTAATCAGGTTTAGTGCTGTTTACTGCCCACTAGTGACCGGGAGTTTAAGTACAACGCAAATGTAACGCACTTCAATGAATTTTTCGTTGAAAATGTGATCTAAAAAATCGATTTTGAATCGATACGGGAATCGCGCAATGACGTATCACAATATATCACTAAATCAATCTTGGTCTTGGTTTGGTCCTGTTTAGTCTGATTTTGTCCTGGTTCAGCCCTGGTTAAGTTCTAGTTCAGTCTTGGTTTAGTCCTGGTGTAGTCCTGGTTGGGTTCTTTAACGTCGTGTCTCTTGTGTCCTCAGTCACGTCGGTGGAGTCTCGTGAGGCGCTCCTGTCGTCTCTGGTTCTGGAGGCGGAGCGTCGTGCGGCCGAGTTGGCGGCTCAGGCCCAGAGAGACGGTTTGTCTCTGGACGCGTGTCACAACAACAAAGCCCTGAGGAGCTGGGAGTGGAGGAGCCGACTGTACGCACGCATGAGGACCGGCTTCCAGCACGCACGTGAGGACCGCAGGACCGGACCGCGCAGGACCGCAGGACCGCACGACCGCACGACTCAGACCGAGCTGGGACTATATCAGGACTGAAGCATGACTAAACCGAGACTGAGCCGGAACTGAACCAGGACTGTGCCAGTACTGAGCTGGGACTACACTGGGTCTGGACTGGGACTGAACCAGGACTGAACTAGGACTGTGCCAGGTCTGGACTGGGAATGAGCCGGGACTGAGCCGGGACTGAGCCGGGTTTTAGCCGGGACTGGACCGATCTGAGCAGGGACTGGACAGGGACTGGACAACGTCTAAGCCAGGACTGGACCGGGACCAAACCGAGACTGAAGAAGGACTGGACCAGAACTGACCTGCATCTAGACCGGGTCTTGAATGGGACTGGACCAGGTCTGAGCCAGGACTGGACTGGGACAGAACCAGAATTGAACTAGGACTGGACCGGAACAGAACCTGGACTGGACCAGGACTGGGCCGGGACTGAACTGGGACTGAACCAAGACTAAACCAGGTCTGTAAAAGCAGCTTTGTGTCAAAATTAGTCAATTTTCTGTGTCCAATAATTATATTATATTTTTATTTCTCTTCATTTTGTAAACGCCAAAAGACATTGACAAGCTGTTCTAAAACCCGAGCTTATGCCTGAAATCTAAAGTTTGTGAGAGTTTGTGGAGAGTTAGTCAGATTTAAACTCTTCCTCCTCATTGTAACTTCAGTTTATTTCATCTTGAACATGTTTGTGCTCAGGTCCCCCAGAAGCTCCGACCCTGGTGCGTCTGTGCGTGAGCAGCAGCTCCACTCTGAGCGTCAGCTTCCAGGAGCCGCAGAGCCTCAATTCCACTGTGGTCACCAAGTACAAAGGTTTATAAAGTAGTGTTTCATTTACCGTATTTCCCGCACTATAGGGGCTCTGGATTATAAGGCGTTCTGTCATTGAATGATCTATTTTTGAACTTTTTTCACATATAAACTGCACACGAGTATAAGGCGCATTAAACGAAACACAACAGTTAGATAAGTCAGTCAAACTTTATTTAACGCGTTTACAGTAACTCTCAACCTTGTTCAATTGTAACACGTAAAAAAAATACTGTCTGAGACGCTAAACTGGTAATGCTGCAAGTGGAGCGGCTTTGTAGTTTACTAAAGTCGTACTAAGACACCCTAATAAATTCAGATATAAGGCGCTCTGGATTATAAGGCACACAGTCGTTTTTGGATGAAATTAAAAGTTTTTAAGTGTGCCCTATAGTGCGGAAAATACAGGATGATCATTCTAACAGTCCTGATATTTGACTTGATCTGGAACATTCCTGTTGTGGATTTAAACGTTTAAAGTGACTCCGGTGAATAATGAATGAATGAACGACGGCGCACAGTTTGCCTCGACAGTAAATAATTACTTTCCCTTTGGTTCATTTCTCCCGACCGCGAGAGGCTGAACTTTGTGTTTCAGTTTCACGTGGAGAGTGTCAGTAACGACAGAAATGAACCGTGCACCAGGTCACACACTCGAGTGTGTGACAGTTAAAGTAAAAGCCTCCTGCTCTGTCTCCGTCTCTGCACAGTTCTGCTGTTTCTCTCACATTTACACGATTTCAGTCTAATTCTGAAAAGCACTTATTCCTCCTCCTCCGCATCTCCCCAGAACAACTCAACAATAACTCCGGCACAAAAGAAAATCACACTGATTCAAATGGAAAGAATCATTTTGAGTGTTTACAGGTAACCCGACATTTTAGTCTGAACAAGGTCACGTACTTTTTATTTGAGTTTAAGAAATTGACTTTAAATGTCCAATATTACACAAAATGAATTCTCCTGAACTTTCAAACATGTTCTAATGATCCTGCAGTTCCTCCGCACAGACCTGGAGCTGGAGCTGTGTCACCATCAGTGGGACTTTTCAACATGTGTTTGTGTTTTTTCCAGTGGAGTGGAGCTGTCGCAAGGACTTTTCTCTTCTCGCTGGAGACGCAGTTTTGGACAATCTCCAAAGTCTCAAGTTCTGCATCACTGGACTCACCACGGTAACAACACCACACACCTGAACTAACAAACTATGTGTGTGTCAGGTCCCTCCTGTGTGTGTCAGGTCCCTCCCCGTGTGTGTGTCAGGTCCCTCCTGTGTGTGTGTCAGGTCCTCCTGTGTGTGTCAGGTCCCTCCTGTGTGTGTGTCAGGTCCCTCCCGTGTGTGTGTAGGCTCCCGTGGTGTGTCAGGTCCCCCTGTGTGTGTGTGTGTCAGGTCCCCTCGTGTGTGTCAGGTCTCCCCGTGTGTGTCAGGTCCTCCTGTGTGTGTGTCAGGTCCCTCCCTGTGTGTGTGTCAGGTCCCTCCTGTGTGTGTGTGTGTGTGTCAGGTCCTCCGTGTGTGTCAGGTCTCCTCCTGTGTGTGTCATGTGTGTGTCAGGTCCTCCCCTGTGTGTGTGTCAGGTCCCTCCTCGTGTGTGTGTCAGGTCCCTCCTGTGTGTGTGTCAGGTCCTCCTCGTGTGTGTCAGGTCCTCCTCGTGTGTGTGTCAGGTCCCTCTCTGTGTGTGTGTCAGGTCCCTCCTGTGTGTGTGTCATGGTGTGTCAGGTCCCTCCTGTGTGTGTGTGTCAGGTCCCTCCTCGGTCCCTCCGTGTGTGTGTGTCAGGTCCCTCCTGTGTGTGTGTGTCAGGTCCCTCCGTGTCCTGTGTGTGTCAGGTCCCTCCGTGTGTGTCAGTCCCTCCTGTGTGTGTGTCAGGTCCTCCTCGTGTGTGTGTCAGGTCCCTCGTGTGTGTGTCAGGTCCCTCGTGTGTGTGTGTGTGTGTCAGGTCCCTCCTCCTGTGTGTGTGTCAGGTCCCTCCGTGTGTGTGTCAGGTCCTCCTGTGTGTGTGTCAGGTCCCTCTCGTGTGTGTGTCAGGTCCCTCCTCATGTGTGTGTCAGGTCCCTCCTCGTGTGTGTGTCAGGTCCTCCGTTGTGTGTGTGTGTGTGTGTGTCAGGTCTCCTCTGTGTGTGTCAGGTCCCTCTCGTGTGTGTCGTGTGTGTCAGGTCCCTCTGTGTGTGTGTCAGGTCCCTCCTGTGTGTGTGTCAGGTCCCTCCGTGTGTGTGTCAGGTCCCTCCTGTGTGTGTGTCAGGTCCTCCTGTGTGTGTGTGTCAGGTCCCTCCCTCTGTGTGTGTGTCAGGTCCCTCCTGTGTGTGTGTCAGGTCCTCCGTGTGTGTGTCAGGTCCCTCCTGTGTGTGTGTCAGGTCCTCCTGTGTGTGTGTCAGGTCCCTCCCCGTGTGTGTGTCAGGTCCCTCCTGTGTGTGTCAGGTCCCCTCCTGTGTGTGTCAGGTCCCTCCTGTGTGTGTGTGTGTCAGGTCCCTCCCCGTGTGTGTGTCAGGTCCCTCCTGTGTGTGTGTCAGGTCCCTCCTGTGTGTGTGTCAGGTCCCAGGTCTCCCTCTGTGTGTGTCAGGTCCCTCCTGTGTGTGTGTCAGGTCCCTCCTGTGTGTGTCAGGTCCCTCCTGTGTGTGTCAGGTCCCTCCGTGTGTGTGTCAGTCCCTCCGTGTGTGTCAGGTCCCTCTGTGTGTGTAGGTCCCTCTGTGTGTGTGTCAGGTCCCTTCCGTGTGTGTGTGTCAGGTCCCTCCTGTGTGTGTGTGTCAGGTCCCTCTCGTGTGTGTGTCAGGTCCCTCTGTGTGTGTCAGGTCCCTCTGTGTGTGTCAGGTCCCTTCCGTGTGTGTCAGGTCCCGTGTGTGTGTGTGTCGTGTGTGTCAGGTCCCTCCCTGTGTGTGTGTCAGGTCCCTCCTGTGTGTGTGTCATGTGTGTCAGGTCTCTCGTGTGGTCAGGTCCTCTGTGTGTGTCAGGTCCTCCTCTGTGTGTGTGTCAGGTCCCTCCGTGTGTGTGTGTGTGTCAGGTCCCTCCTGTGTGTGTGTCAGGTCCCTCCTGTGTGTGTGTGTGTCAGGTCCCTCTGTGTGTGTCAGGTCTCCTCTGTGTGTGTGTCAGGTCCCTCCTGTGTGTGTGTCAGGTCCCTCCCTCTGTGTGTGTGTCAGGTCCTCCTGTGTCCCTCCTGTGTGTGTCAGGTCCCTCCGTGTGTGTGTCAGGTCTGTGTGTGTCAGGTCTCCTGTGTGTGTGTCAGGTCCCTCTGTGTGTGTCAGGTCCTCTGTGTGTGTCAGGTCCCTCTGTGTGTGTGTCAGGTCCCTCCGTGTGTGTGTGTGTGTCAGGTCCCTCAGGTCCTCCTGTGTGTGTGTCAGGTCCCTCTGTGTGTGTGTCAGGTCCCTCTGTGTGTGTCAGTGTCAGGTCCTCTGTGTGTGTGTCAGGTCCCTCTCCCTGTGTGTGTGTCAGGTCCCTCCTGTGTGTGTGTGTGTGTCAGGTCCCTCCTGTGTGTGTGTGTGTCAGGTCCCTCTGTGTGTGTGTCAGGTCCCTCTGTGTGTGTCAGGTCCCTCTGTGTGTGTCAGGTCCCTCTGTGTGTGTCAGGTCCCTCCTGTGTGTGTGTCAGGTCCCTCCTGTGTGTGTGTGTCAGGTCCCTCCTCTGTGTGTGTGTCAGGTCCCTCTGTGTGTGTGTCAGGTCCCTCCTGTGTGTGTGTCAGGTCCCTCCCTCGTGTGTGTGTCAGGTCCCTCTGTGTGTGTCAGGTCCTCTGTGTGTGTGTCAGGTCCCTCTGTGTGTGTCAGGTCCCTCCTGTGTGTGTGTCAGGTCCCTCCTGTGTGTGTGTCAGGTCCTCTGTGTGTGTGTCAGGTCCCTCTGTGTGTGTGTCAGGTCCCTCCCTCTGTGTGTGTCAGGTCCCTCTGTGTGTGTCAGGTCCCTCCCCTGTGTGTCAGGTCCCTCCTGTGTGTGTGTGTCAGGTCCCTCCTGTGTGTGTGTCAGGTCCCTCCTTGTGTGTGTCAGGTGTGTGTGTCAGGTCCCCTCTGTGTGTGTGTCAGGTCCCTCTGTGTGTGTGTCAGGTCCCCTGTGTGTGTCAGGTCCCTCTGTGTGTCAGGTCCCTCTGTGTGTGTCAGGTCCCTCTGTGTGTGTCAGGTCCCTCTGTGTGTGTCAGGTCCCTCCCTGTGTGTGTGTCAGGTCCCTCTGTGTGTGTCAGGTCCCTCCTGTGTGTGTGTCAGGTCCCTCTGTGTGTGTGTGTCAGGTCCCTCTGTGTGTGTCAGGTCCCTCCGTGTGTGTGGGTCCCTCCTGTGTGTGTGTCAGGTCCCTCTGTGTGTGTCAGGTCCCTCCTGTGTGTGTGTCAGGTCCCTCCTGTGTGTGTGTCAGGTCCCTCCTGTGTGTGTGTCAGGTCCCTCCTGTGTGTGTGTCAGGTCCCTCTGTGTGTTTTCTTCTGTAGTTCTCGATCGTGTTGTGAAATTGGTGATTCTGTGATCTGTGTTCTTTGTGATTTCTTCTGTGTACTGTGTTCTTCTGTGTTCTTCCTGTGTTCTTCTATTCTTTGTGTTCTTCTGTGATCTTCCTGTGTTCTTCTGTGTTCTTCTGTGTTCTTCTGTGTTCTTCCTGTGTTCTCCTGTGTTCTTCTGTGTTCTTCTGTGTTCTTCTGTGTTCTTCTGTGTTCTTCTGTGTTCTTCTGTGTTCTTCTGTGTTCTTCTGTGTTCTTCTGTGTTCTTCTGTGTTCTTCTGTGTTCTTCTGTGTTCTTCTGTGTTCTTCTGTGTTCTTCTGTGTTCTTCTGTGTTCTTCTGTGTTCTTCTGTGTTCTTCTGTGTTCTTCTGTGTTCTTCTGTGTTCTTCTGTGTTCTTCTGTGTTCTTCTGTTCTTCTGTTCTTCTGTGTTCTTCTGTGTTCTTCTGTGTTCTTCTGTGTTCTTCTGTGTTCTTCTGTGTTCTTCTGTGTTCTTCTGTGTTCTTCCTGTGTTCTTCTGTGTTCTTCTGTGTTCTTCCTGTGTTCTTCTGTGTTCTTCTGTGTTCTTCTGTGTTCTTCTGTGTTCTTCTGTGTTCTTCTGTGTTCTTCTGTGTTCTTCCTGTGTTCTTCTGTGTTCTTCTGTGTTCTTCTGTGTTCTTCTGTGTTCTTCCTGTGTTCTTCTGTGTTCTTCTGTGTTCTTCTGTGTTCTTCCTGTGTTCTTCTGTGTTCTTCTGTGTTCTTCCTGTGTTCTTCTGTGTTCTTCCTGTGTTCTTCTGTGTTCTTCTGTGTTCTTCTGTGTTCTTCTGTGTTCTTCCTGTGTTCTTCTGTGTTCTTCTGTGTTCTTCTGTGTTCTTCTGTGTTCTTCTGTGTTCTTCCTGTGTTCTTCTGTGTTCTTCTGTGTTCTTCTGTGTTCTTCTGTGTTCTTCTGTGTTCTTCTGTGTTCTTCTGTGTTCTTCTGTGTTCTTCTTCTGTGTTCTTCTGTGTTCTTCTGTGTTCTTCTGTGTTCTTCTGTGTTCTTCTGTGTTCTTCTGTGTTCTTCTGTGTTCTTCCTGTGTTCTTCCTGTGTCTTCTGTGTTCTTCTGTGTTCTTCTGTGTTCTTCTGTGTTCTTCTGTGTTCTTCTGTGTTCTTCTGTGTTCTTCTGTGTTCTTCCTGTGTTCTTCTGTGTTCTTCTGTGTTCTTCCTGTGTTCTGTTCGTTTGGGTTCTAAATCTGTGAGTGACGTTTGGCTCAGACTCGTGGAGTAAAAGAGCCGACAGATTTTCAGACACATGATGGAAATGAAGAGTTGGGAGTGTTTCAGAGAAAACAGGTTTCCAGGGTTCAGCGGGGAAGAGCCGTCCTGTGAGCCGCGAGCCGTCCCGCGAGCCGTCCCCTGAGCCGCGAGCCGTCCCGAGCCGTGAGCCGTCCCCTGAGCCGTGAGCCGTCCCTGAGCCGTGAGCCGTCCCCTGAGCCGCGAGCCGTCCCGCGAGCCGTCCCCTGAGCCGTGAGCCGTCCCCTGAGCCGTGAGCCGTCCCCTGAGCCGTGAGCCGTCCCTGAGCCGTGAGCCGTCCCCTGAGCCGCGAGCCGTCCCGCGAGCCGTCCCCGTGAGCCGTCCCCTGAGCCGTGAGCCGTCCCCTGAGCCGTGAGCCGTCCCGCGAGTCAGACTGTATTTTTTGATCGTTCAATCAGATGAACGGTGATTTCTGCTCCATGTTTCTTCATTTTGAATAAACGTTGAAACCAGAGACGAGCTTCAAACTGAAGCTCCAGACCTGAAGAGATTCATCTGAAAACTCTGACCGTCCCAATGATCCTGGGCCAAGTGTCAGGCCCAAGGACACAACAACAGTTGGCTGCCCACAGTGGCTCACATCCTAGACCCAGAAAGAGTCTAAACCCTGGAGCGGTGCGGTCTAAACCCTGGAGCGGTGCGGTCTAAACCCTGGAGCGGTGCGGTCTAAACCCTGGAAGCGGTGCGGTCTAAACCCTGGAGCGGTGCGGTCTAAACCCTGGAGCGGTGCGGTCTAAACCCTGGAGCGGTCTAAACCCTGGAGCGGTGCGGTCTAAACCCTGGAGCCTGAATGTCAGGCGACTCCCACACGTCGCTGTTGAATATTTTGAAAACATTAGAATAAAAATGTGGATAAAAGGTTTGATTTGGACACAGGCTTCACTCTGGGCTTTTATTCTGTCGCTGTTTGTACTTTGGAGCTGTGACTGTGATGCTAACTCCAGGCACTGCTCTGTCTGAAGCTCTGAATCTCAACTTAGACTTTAATCTGAGCTTTAAATGAAAACAAGAGCTGACTCATCTGAACTCTTCAGTGTATTTCTGTATATTTTTGGTGTATTTTCAGTATATTTTCAGTATATTTTTGGTGTATTTTTGGTGTATTTTCAGTTTAGTTTTAGTGTATTTTCAGTATATTTTTGGTGTATTTTCAGTATATTTTTTGTGTATTTTCGGTGTATTTTCAGTTTAGTTTTAGTGTATTTTCAGTATATTTTTGTGTATTTTCAGTATTTTTTTGTGTATTTTCAGTATTTTTTTGTGTATTTTCAGTATATATTTCGTGTATTTTCAGTATATTTTTTGTGTATTTTCAGTATTTTTTTGTGTATTTTCAGTATATTTTTTGTGTATTTTCGGTGTGTTTTCAGTTTAGTTTTAGTGTATTTTCTGTATATTTTTGGTGTATTTACAGTATATTTTCGGTATATTTTTGGTGTATTTTTAGTATATTTTCAGTATATTTTTGGTGTATTTTTTGTGTATTTTCAGTTTAGTTTTAGTGTATTTTCAGTATATTTTTAGTGTATTTTCAGTATTTTTTTGTGTATTTTCAGTATATTTTTGGTATTTTCAGTATATTTTTGGTGTATTTTCAGTATATTTTTGGTGTATTTTTTATGTGTTTTCAGTATATTTTCAGCGTATTTTCAGTGTATTCGGACCAGAGTGCTGGAGATTATTTTCAGAAATGTCTGTCAAAGTTGAACTCTTTGTCATTAACAGGATTACAATCACTGTCTAATTATTTTGGCGTTTTGTTTGTGAAAATTGGGCTTTTAGAGTTTTTGCTTGAACAGTTTAATCTAGTTTGAGCCTCTTGTGCAGTTACACTTTTATCACTCTAAACCTGCGCCTCGTTATTTTACACTAATTACACTTTTTAACGGCTCCGTTTTGTGACGACTCCACAAACATTTGGACCTGCTCCTTTTAATCAGCTCATTAATATGCAAACCAAAATATTCAAACATCACCTTTACAGTACAAGCTGACGGTCACATTGTGTTCCAAAACTGATATTTTTATTTTTTACCTGAAATTGACTTTGGCCTTTTATTTGTATTTGCCAAACACACGTGTCATTATTTTGAACATTTGAAAAAAAAAAAACATTTTGTGAAGCCATTTGTCACATTTGACTTTCAAAATAATTTAAATTTCACTGTTGAAAAAGTCCTGGTGTAGACCTGGTTCAGTCCTGGTTTAGTCCTGGTTCAGTCCTGGTTCAGTCCTGGTTCAGTCCTGGTTTAGTCCTGGTTCAGTCCTGGTTCAGTTCTGGTTCAGTCCTGGTTTAGTCCTGGTTCAGTCCTGGTTTAGTCCTGGTTCAGTCCTGGTTTAGTCCTGGTTTAGTCCTGGTTCAGTCCTGGTTTAGTCCTGGTTCAGTCCTGGTTTAGTCCTGGTTTAGTCCTGGTTCAGTTCTGGTTCAGTCCTGGTTTAGTCCTGGTTTAGTCCTGGTTCAGTCCTGGTTCAGTCCTGGTTCAGTTCTAGTTTAGACCTTTTTTAATATTTTCGTGTTTGTTTTTCAGGGTCAAGTTTATTTCGTGCGAGTCTCCGCCTACAACATGAAGGGCTGGGGTCCCCCGGCCTGTTCCCTCCCCCCGTCTGCAGCGCCATCAAGTGAGTACTACAAGTACTACTACTGCTACTGATACTACTACTGCTACTACTACTACTACTGATACTACTACTGTTATTACTACTACTACTGCTACTACTACTACTACAGATACTACTACTGTTACTACTACTACTACTACTACTACTACTACTACTACTAATACTACTACTAATACTACTACTGTTATTACTTTTACTAATACTACTGTTACTACAGTTATTACTACTACTAATATAACTATGTTACTACACACACACACACAGACACACACACATACACACACAAGGAGCACATCAGAACATAACGATCTGTATCAATATATCAATTATCGCCTTTAACACAAGATTGTGATAATATCGTATCGTGAACCAAGAATCATGTGGTGAATCGTGTGGTGAATCGTATCGTGAATCGTATCGTGAATCGTATCGTGAATCGTACGGAGAGGAGCCTGTGATTTGCAGCCGTCCCCGTGCGTCTGATGTGTCCAGTATTTTCTCTCGGTTCAGTTTAGTCTCAGTCTTTTGTTTGGTGCATTTTAAGATTTAAGAGGTTTTAAAAAAGCTCTGAACTCCAGTCTGTTCCTCTTCACATTTCCACTGGAGCCCGTTTAAAGCTCGTCTTTCACTCTGCTCTCAAGGCTGTGTGAAAGTGTGTTTTTAATTGCTCTTCATCTCATGGTCTGATATTTTCACGGTTTCCTTTATCACAAACCTCACGACTTTCTGAGGAGCGCGAACCACAAATGTCGCACATTAACCTCACGTCAAACACACAGCTCCTGTTTTGTTAAGTCACTGATAAGAACGTTTCTGAAGATTCTGTTTAGGCCCATTTAAATGGATTCACTCATCTGCAGTAAGACGCAGAGAGAGAGAGAGGGTCAGAGGAACAGAGGGTCAGAGGAACAGAGGGTCAGAGGAACAGAGGGTCAGAGGAACAGAGGGTCAGAGGGAACAGAGGAACAGAGGGAACAGAGGGTCAGAGGAACAGAGGGTCAGAGGAACAGAGGGTCAGAGGAACAGAGGGTCAGAGGAACAGAGGGTCAGAGGAACAGTCAGAGGAACAGAGGGTCAGAGGAACAGAGGGTCAGAGGAACAGAGGGTCAGAGGAACAGAGGAACAGAGGGTCAGAGGAACAGAGGGTCAGAGGAGCAGAGGGTCAGAGGACAGAGGGTCAGAGGAACAGAGGGTCAGAGGAACAGAGGGTCAGAGAGGAACAGAGGGTCAGAGAGAACAGAGGGTCAGAGGAACAGAGGGTCAGAGGAACAGAGGGTCAGAGGGAGAACAGAGGTCAGAGGACAGAGGGAACAGAGGGTCAGAGGAACAGAGGGTCAGAGGAACAGAGGGTCAGAGGAACAGAGGGTCAGAGGAACAGAGGGTCAGAGGAACAGAGGGTCAGAGGAACAGAGGGTCAGAGGAACAGAGGGTCAGAGGAACAGAGGGTCAGAGGAACAGAGGGTCAGAGGAACAGAGGAACAGAGGGTCAGAGGAACAGAGGGTCAGAGGAACAGAGGGTCAGAGGAACAGAGGGTCAGAGGAACAGAGGGTCAGAGGAACAGAGGGTCAGAGGAACAGAGGGTCAGAGGAACAGAGGGTCAGAGGAACAGAGGAACAGAGGAACAGAGGGTCAGAGGAACAGAGGGTCAGAGGAACAGATTAACAGAGGGTCAGAGGAACAGAGGGTCAGAGGAACAGAGGGTCAGAGGAACAGAGGGTCAGAGGAACAGAGGGTCAGAGAACAGAGGGTCAGAGGAACAGAGGGTCAGAGGAACAGAGGGTCAGAGGAACAGAGGGTCAGAGGAACAGAGGGTCAGAGAGGAACAGAGGGTCAGAGGAACAGAGGGTCAGAGGAACAGAGGAACAGGGGAACAGAGGGTCAGAGGAACAGAGGGTCAGAGGAACAGAGGGTCAGAGGAACAGAGGGTCAGAGGAACAGAGGGTCAGAGGAACAGAGGGTCAGAGGAACAGAGGGTCAGAGGAACAGAGGGTCAGAGGAACAGAGGAACAGAGGGTCAGAGGAGGAACAGAGGGTCAGAGGAACAGAGGGTCAGAGGAACAGGGGAACAGAGGGTCAGAGGAACAGAGGAACAGAGGAACAGAGGGTCAGAGGAACAGAGGGTCAGAGGAACAGAGGGTCAGAGGAACAGAGGAACAGAGGAACAGAGGAACAGAGGAACAGAGGAACAGAGGGTCAGAGGAACAGAGGGTCAGAGGAACAGAGGGTCAGAGGAACAGAGGGTCAGAGGAACAGAGGGTCAGAGGAACAGAGGGTCAGAGGAACAGAGGAACAGAGGGTCAGAGGAACAGAGGGTCAGAGGAACAGAGGAACAGAGGGTCAGAGGAACAGAGGGTCAGAGGAACAGAGGGTCAAAGGAACAGAGGGTCAGAGGAACAGAGGAACAGAGGTCAGAGGAACAGAGGGTCAGAGGGAACAGAGGGAACAGAGGGTCAGAGGAACAGAGGGTCAGAGGAACAGAGGGTCAGAGGAACAGAGGGTCAGAGGAACAGAGGGTCAGAGGAACAGAGAGAGGAACAGAGGGAACAGAGGGTCAGAGGAACAGAGGGTCAGAGGAGGAACAGAGGGTCAGAGGAACAGAGGGTCAGAGGAACAGAGGAACAGAGGGTCAGAGGAACAGAGGGTCAGAGGAACAGAGGGTCAGAGGAACAGAGGGTCAGAGGAACAGAGGGTCAGAGGGTCAGAGGAACAGAGGGTCAGAGGAACAGAGGGTCAGAGGAACAGAGGGTCAGAGGAAGGGTCAGAGGAACAGGGGAACAGAGGGTCAGAGGAACAGAGGGTCAGAGGAACAGAGGGTCAGAGGAACAGAGGGTCAGAGGAACAGAGGGTCAGAGGAACAGAGGGTCAGAGGAACAGAGGGTCAGAGGAACAGAGGGTCAGAGGAACAGAGGGTCAGAGGAACAGAGGGTCAGAGGAACAGAGGAACAGAGGGTCAGAGGAACAGAGGGTCAGAGGAACAGAGGGTCAGAGGAACAGAGGGTCAGAGGAACAGGGGAACAGAGGGTCAGAGGAACAGAGGGTCAGAGGGAACAGAGGGAACAGAGGAACAGAGGGTCAGAGGAGAGGTCAGAGAGGAACAGAGGTCAGAGGAACAGAGGTCAGAGGGTCAGGGGAACAGAGGGTCAGAGGAACAGAGAGGGAACAGAGGAACAGAGGGACAGAGGAACAGAGGGTCAGAGGAACAGAGGGTCAGAGGAACAGAGGGTCAGAGGAACAGAGGGTCAGAGGAACAGAGGAACAGAGGGTCAGAGGAACAGAGGGTCAGAGGGAACAGAGGGTCAGAGGAACAGAGGAACAGAGGAACAGGGTCAGAGGAACAGAGGGTCAGAGGAACAGAGGGTCAGAGGAACAGGAGGAACAGACAGAGGAGGGTCAGAGGAACAGAGGGTAGGAACAGAGGGTCAGAGGAACAGAGGGTCAGAGGAAGGGTCAGAGGAACAGAGGAACAGAGGGTCAGAGGAACAGAGGGTCAGAGGAACAGAGGGTCAGAGAGGAACAGAGGTCAGAGGAACAGAGGGTCAGAGGAACAGAGGAGAGAGGAACAGGGGAACAGAGGGTCAGAGGAACAGAGGAACAGAGGGTCAGAGGAACAGAGGGTCAGAGGGAACAGAGGAACAGAGGGTCAGAGGAACAGAGGAACAGAGGAACAGAGGGTCAGAGGAACAGAGGGTCAGAGGAACAGAGAGGAACAGAGGGTCAGAGGAACAGAGGAGGAACAGAGGGTCAGAGGAACAGAGGGTCAGAGGAACAGAGGGTCAGAGGAACAGAGGGTCAGAGGAACAGAGGGTCAGAGGAACAGAGGGGAACAGAGGGTCAGAGGAACAGAGGAACAGAGGAACAGAGGGTCAGAGGAACAGAGGGTCAGAGGAACAGAGGAACAGAGGGTCAGAGGAACAGAGGGTCAGAGGAACAGAGGGTCAGAGGAACAGAGGAACAGAGGGTCAGAGGAACAGAGGGTCAGAGGAACAGAGGGTCAGAGGAACAGAGGAACAGAGGTCAGAGGAACAGAGGTCAGAGGAACAGAGGGTCAGAGGAACAGGAGGAACAGAGGTCAGAGGAACAGAGGTCAGAGGAACAAGAGGAACAGGGTCAGAGGAACAGAGGGTCAGAGGAACAGAGGGTCAGAGGAAACAGAGGGTCAGAGGAACAGAGGGTCAGAGGAACAGAGGGTCAGGGAACAGAGGAACAGAGGAACAGGGGAACAGAGGGTCAGAGGAACAGGGGAACAGAGGGTCAGAGGAACAGAGGAACAGAGGGTCAGAGGAACAGAGGGTCAGAGGAACAGAGGGTCAGAGGGAACAGAGGAACAGAGAGGAACAGAGGGTCAGAGGAACAGAGGGTCAGAGGAAACAGAGGGTCAGAGGAACAGAGGAACAGAGGGTCAGAGGAACAGAGGGTCAGAGGAACAGAGGGTCAGAGGAACAGAGGGTCAGAGGAACAGAGGAACAGAGGGTCAGAGGAACAGAGGAACAGAGGAACAGAGGGTCAGAGGAACAGAGGGTCAGAGGAACAGAGGGTCAGAGGAACAGAGGGTCAGAGGAACAGAGGAACAGAGGGTCAGAGGAACAGAGGTCAGAGGAACAGAGGTCAGAGAACAGAGGGTCAGAGGAACAGAGAGGAACAGAGGGTCAGAGGAACAGAGGGTCAGAGGGAACAGGAACAGAGGGTCAGAGGAACAGAGGGTCAGAGGAACAGAGGAACAGAGGGTCAGAGGAACAGAGGGTCAGAGGAACAGAGGAACAGAGGGGTCAGAGGGAACAGAGGGTCAGAGGAACAGAGGGTCAGAGGAACAGAGGGTCAGAGGAACAGAGGAACAGAGGGTCAGAGGAAGTCAGAGGAACAGAGGGTCAGAGGAACAGAGGAACAGAGGAACAGAGGGTCAGAGGGTCAGAGGAACAGAGGAACAGAGGGTCAGAGGAAACAGAGGGTCAGAGGAACAGAGGGTCAGAGGAACAGAGGTCAGAGGAACAGAGGGTCAGAG